TAATGCCGTTAAAGGAAACCTACTTTTCCCCCCTGATACTGTTTTAGGAAAATCCAACAGTGAAAGTTTAACTCCCAATGTTGACAACAATCATAAAAATACATTTGTATTTAAATTTTCTAAAATGGGAACAAAATTAGTTATAAAAACACAATGCATCTTTTTTTTAAAAAAAAAACACAATGCATCTTATTTTGAAAGCTAAATTTGTGCTAACTATACCACTGTGACAGCATAGTTTCCTATTCTCTTTATTTATTTATTTTATTTATTTATTTTTTTAATTGTAAAGGCAGATTAACAGAGAGGAGGAGAGACAGAAAGATCTATCCTCTGGTTCACTCCCCAAGTGGCTGCAATGACTAGAGCTCAGCTGATCTGAAACCAGGAGCCAGAAGCTTCTCCTGGGTCTCCCATGCAGGTGCAGAGACTCAAGGCTTTGGTCAATCCTCTACTGATTTCCAGGCCACAAGCAGGGAGCTGGAAGAGAAGTGGAACAGCCGGGACACTGACTGGCACCCATATGGGATCCTGGTGCTTGCAAGGGGAGGATTTAGTCTTTGAGTCATCATGCCAGGCACTTTTTTGTAGTTTTAATTTGCATTTCTCTTTTTACTATAAAGGTTGAAAGTGCTTTCATGCTTATGAACTATTTACATTTCTTTTTCCTTTTTTTTAAAGATTTTTTTTTTTTTATTGCAAAGTCAGATATACAGAGAGGAGGAGAAACAGAGAGGAAGACTTCCATCTGATGATTCGCTCCCCAAGGACTGCAACGACTGGTGCTGTGCTGATCCTAAGCCAGGAGTGAGGAACTTCTGGGTCTCCCACACAAGTGCAGGGTCCCAAGGCTTTGGGCCGTCCTCTACTGCTTTCCAAGGCCACAGGCAGGGAGCTGAATGGGAAGCAGGGCCGCTGGCATCCATATGGGATTCTGGTACGTTCAGGGCAAGGACTTCAGCCGCTAGGCCACTGTGCCAGGCCCTACATTTATTTTTCTAAAAACTATCTTATATATCCATCCTCATTTGCTATTGGATTACTGGTCTTTTCCTTATTGACATATAGGAGCTCTTTATGTAATTAGAAAATCAAGGGTGAGTGTTTGGTTTGGTGATTAAGACACCATCTCAAATGCCTACATCCCATTCTGGAGAGCCTGGGTTTGGGTCCTGGCTCCACTTCTGGTGACTGCACAGCCTTGGTCTGCCCTACGAATCATCTTCTTGCAGCCTTTTCAATTTGCAAGATCATTGTGTAAGTTTTCTGCTTCTTGGATCCAGACTGATAATCTATTTTAGTACCTGTGTAGTTTAATTTTTTGCTGTATCAGGAAATGTTCCTACTGTGAGCTGTAGAGTATGGCTCCAGATTTGTTTTTTCTGCATGGCTATCCAGTTTACCTGAGTATTTCTTGAATATATTTTTTCCTACCAACTTTATCAGATCTTATTTAGCATTACAAATTTTTTGTTTGAGGGGCCAGCATTATGGTGCAGGGAATTGCTTGACATTCTGGTATCTCAATGCAGAGTGCCAGTTGGAGTCTCAGCTGCTTGGCTTCCAATTCAGATCCCTGGTTTATGTATATATGTGTACATAAAGACTTATTTACTTGAAAAACAAGGAGAGAGTGAGATCGTGAGAAAGAGAGCTTACAGATATTAGCTTACTCCTTAAATGGCTGTAATGGCCAGGAGTGGGCCTGGAACTCCACCCAGGTCTCCCACATGGAGAGTAGGGGCCCAAGTGCTTGGGCCATCTTTTGCTGTATCTAAGGCACAGCAGCAGGTGGCTATCGCAGCAGCTGGAACTTGAATGGTGTGGTCATGTGTGATGCCAGGGTTGTAGGCAGTGCTCAACCTGTTTTACCATCCTCTTCCCTTTCCTTCTTTCTAAAATATTTATTTATTTGAAAGACAGGGAGAAGAGAGGCAGAGAAAGATACAGTTGTAGTCCACCAAATGGCAGAGATAGTCACTGGTTTGAGGTTGTTCTGTGGTTACTGGAAAGCAGGAAGCAACCCTCCAGTAACAGGTGAGCTACGGCCGGTGGCTAGTACGCAGGCAGAGTTCCTACAAAACTGCTTGAGTTCAGTGCTCCGTTTCTGGAGAAGCTAGATTTTGCAAACTTTCCCTGTTATTTTTCTGGAAAATGGTGAGTTTAGATACTCTGTTTTTCCTTAGATCATGTTTAGTAATTACTTTGTTATGCACAATTAATTATCTGCAGTTATTTTCCCCTCACTAAATTTTACATTGTGTGTAGCGCCTTCTTTTTTTCCCCCAAAACTAGATTAACCACTGGTTTAGGTATTTCCTATTTTTTTTTCTGAAAGAATTAGATTTTGACTCTGTTCATATTTTGTTCTTGTGCTAGTTTCTACTTCCATGCTCATTAATTTTTAATTTTTTCTTTATTATTTCCTTCCTTTGACTTTCTTTAACTCTTTTTTGTTGCTGTTACTTTTTAGTTAAAAAAATACTTTTGTCTTGCTGTTACTTTTATTCTTGAATTTTCTGCTTCACTTATTTTGTCTTTATTGTCAGTTAATATAATCTGAACTACTTCAATTAATATAGTTTAAAGGTATGGATTTTTTTTTCTTTGCACTGACTTTTCTGCAGCCCCTAGTTTGATATGTAGTATTTCCATTCTTTTTTAAAAAAATATTTATTTATTTTTATTGGAAAGGCAGATTCATAGACAGAAGGCAATACAGAAAGAAGGATCTTTTGTCCACTGGTTAACTCCTAAAATGGCTGCAAGGGCTGGAACAGAGCCAATCTGAAGCCAGGAAACAGAAGTTTCTTTTGGCCTTCCATATGGGTACAAGAGTCCCAAGGATGTGGGTTATCTGAAAGCCCTTGTTGCTTTGCCAAGCTATTAAGCAGGGAATTGGATTGGAAGTGGAACAGCTAGAACATTAACTGGTACCTCTATGGGATGTGGTGCAGCAGGCAGAGGCTCAGCCCACTATGCCTTGGTGCTAGCCTCCAGCACTATCTATTAACTCAACATTATGAAACTGACAAAAACTAGTATATTTCCTTATCTTATTTATACTCTCCCCTTCCTGCATCAATCAATAGTCTACCATATTATCTTTTTGAAGTTTATCTTAATGCTAATAATATGTTACATCTCTATTATTTGTCATCTAGAAGGGACTGCATTTGAACATCAGCTATTAAGGGTGAGGAAGTGTTACAGATAAACTAGAGCACTCTGAGTCCCAATGTTTCATTGGAGATCATACATAATTTAAAAAATTCATTATTTTCATGAATAAGTTAAAGAATTGGGAAGATCTTCACAGTAAGAACATTCTTCTGAAATCTTGCTTTAAAGAAAAATGAATCATTTTGGTTGGAATTATTTATATTAAAGGAACAATGGATATAAAAGGAATTCTAATATTTTAATAATGAATCCTATCATGATTCCTTAAAAATGTTCAGAATTATTTGATCATATTAAAAATTAGATATGGGGAGAAATATCAGGTGTCCATCCTGGGTGACAGTCCTCACATGTTATCTTTCTCCACTTATTTATGTTTAGGGCTCTCTCTGCGGACAGAAAATGTCAGATACCTATACAGCTTACTGACAACGGACTTAAAGTCCATTAGCAAAGAGTGCATTGTTCTATATGGGTACACAGATAATAGCATTATCCCAGCAATTTTCTCAAATTTCTAACAGAGGTTTAACCTATCAGAAGGACTTTTGGCTTGCAATTTTTCCTGAGTTACCAGGTACTTCTGATTAAAATCCTATGTGTGATATTTCATGCTGACCAATGACAAAAGCTTCACTTGGCTATCTTCACACCAGACTTGGTGCATAGCTAGCGTACCGCAGTCTCGGAATGGAGCTGCCTCAAGGTCTCGGACCCCTAGCTGATTATATTCCTGGACTGTTAACATCCCCAGCCCAGAGACTCTCCTTCCCAAATCAGTTTATCTGAGGCCTTGTGCTATGTTCTCTTCAGAATTCTGCCAAGGTCTCCTAATGGTAGGAAGGGAGAAAAGGGGGGAACTTTGAAGATAGTTTTATCTACCCTCAGTACATTTCCACTCGCACTCTTTCTTCTTTGCTCTCTCTCTCCACTTCAGGGTCCATAAGCTCAATTGCTTGAGTCTCTGCCACCCATGCAGGAGATCCAGATGGACTTCTGGCCTCCTAGCTTCAGCTGGCTCAGCCCTGGTTGTTGGCAAATCTGGAGAGTAGGTTGGAAGTTGTAAGGTTTCTATGTTTCTTTCTTTCAAGTCAATAAAAACAAAAACACTTTAAATAAACAATAAAAAAAATACCTCTATGGGGAGTTTCACCTGAGTCATCTGAGATGTGGAGAAAATATTTTTGCATAGTTAGAACCGTCCTTCTAAAAAAATATATATATACATATATATATTTATATTAAAGGCAGAAAGAGAAAAGGGAGAGAGAGAGAGAGAGAGAGAGAGATTTTTGCCATGTTCCAGTTAGCCCCCCAGATGGACCCAGAGACCCAGATGGAGACACGCTCTCCTACCTCCTGCAGAGGTGGAGCTTCAGACCACTCACTCCTATATGGAATAAGGGCATGCCAAATAGGGTTCTACTGCTGTGCCAATGCCTGTCCCCTTAGGGCTTTCTGAGCAAAGAAAATTGTGATGAATAGGTAGAGACCTCTGGAGAGAGTCAGAAACTTCCTTCTTCGTGCGTTGACATTTTGAATGGGGTGAAAGCAATCAGTGGTTTACATTTCCAAGATCTGTAAATGTCTAGGTTTCTTTTTGTCAGGGTGGAGGCAGGCAAGGCACAGCCTATTTAAACCCTAGATTAATGCTTTTGGGGCTTCTCTTTTTATAGTACAAATCTCTACATACATAGGATGACATTCAGTTCTCACAGTGTCACCTGAGGGCCACTGGGTGTGGGGAACCAACTGTGCTCATCTCCAGAAATCTTATCTTTGCTTTTAGAATAAAATGAACACACAGACACACTTACCACAAAGGGGAGGATGCACTCGTGCTGATTTTGTACTATGTACAAGCTGAACAGGGACATGCGGTTGGGACCCATCAAGCCACAGGCTAGAGAGAAAAAGTTCTGCAGAGCCTCGCAGAGGTTGGAGCAGATGTCAGCCCAAGAAGGGAGAGCGATGTGCACAATGAGGAGTCGTGGAAGTGGCTGGTAGATTGGCGGAGGAGTGGGATCAGGGTTTTTTTTACCAGTAGTTCGCCCATGATGCATGGTAGCCAGACCAGAGGTGGAGCTGCAGCCACTCCTTGGATATTTTCTACACAAAGAAAAGAGAAATCATTGGCTTTCACAGAAATGAACTATGTACTCTGTTAAAATAAAGAATGCAAATTGATGGGATTAAGTCATCAGAGGAATTAGACAAGATTGTCTAGTCCATCCCATATGAACAGTTCTTGGGGAGATCTAGATGTACACCTGAAGTCTGAGAATGCTTAGAGATGCTGTAATGAATCAAATTCCAGTCTCAAAGCAAGGTATCTACCTTCACAAACTTGCCTCCTTTAGTATCATTTATTATACTGCAATTAAGTTCTATGATGATCTCTTGTGAGCTTTATTTTTTTGTTGTTGTTTTTTAAAGATTTATTTTGTTTTTATTACAAAGTCAGATATACAGAGAGGAGGAGAGTCATAGAGGAAGATCTTCCATCCAATGATTCACTCCCCAAGTGAGCGCAACAGCTGGTTCTGCACTGATCCGAAGCCGGGAACCAGGAACCTCTTCCGGGTGGGTGCAGTTCAGTCAGTCTGAAATGGAATACTGACTACAAGTAATTACAGAAACAACAATTGTATCTAGCTTTTTAAGCCCACATAAATCGCTAAGTAAAAGAATAGCATTTGTTGCATGTTGACCAAATCTATCCCAGAAATGCATCTGAGGCCGACTCTTAGAAGCTCACGAGTCTTTATTTACTGGGCAGTACTGACTAGTGAACTGTCCCAAGCCACTGCAAGTGAAAGAGGTGAACAGCCCTGATCAGCTGTGTTCAGGGGTTTTTAAGCAATGATCATCCAATCAACTAGGAGAGCATTGGAACATGATATGAGTCATTCAATCAACCAAGCTTACAGCAATACAGTCCCTATCAGTGACTGGTCACTGCAAATCTGCTACTCAGCACAGACAGCAAAGACTATAATTGTGCTTCCTTCTACTCTCTTTATAAGATCACATGAGACTAATATCTCAAAGAGGGAGCTGGCCAACAAAACTGGAAGTGAAGCAAAGTGGTAATGGGCCCAGCACCATAGTGGAATAGTTAAAGCCCTTGCCTTGGATGTGCCAGGATCCCATATGGGCGCCAGTTCTAATCCCAGCGGCCCTGCCTCCCATCCAGCCCCCTGCTTGTGGCCTGGGACAGCAGTTGAGAACGGCCCAACTCTTTGGGACCCTGCACCCACGTGGAAGACCTGGAAGAGCTCCTGGCTCTTGGCTTCAGATTGGCTCAGCTCCAGCCATTGCGCTCGCTTGGGGAGTGAACCATCAGACGGATCTTCCTCTCTCTCTCTCTCTCTCTCCTCCTCTCTGTATATCTGCCTTTCCAATAAATAAATAAGTAAATAAATAAATAAAATCTTTTAAAAAAGTGCTAATGATGAAAGTGAAATTTACATAGAACATAACAGGAGTTACAGAAGAAAGAGCTGATTGAGAATGTTGACATTGCCACCATTTGACAGACGCCTCATAGGCAGCCTGAAGGAATCTGTGAAGGCAAACTAATCAACATCGAGAAAAGTGGTTGTGACAAAAATGATGAAGACACCCCCGAGAAAATGCCACTTGCAAAAAAAAAAAAAAATTCATAATTAAAGGAACTCTAGGAGATGTTTCAGAAAATTTAAAGCATAAGATGTTGGAATCTCATCCAAACTTGAAAGTCTTAAAACATGCAAAAGGATGCTTACTTTATCATAAGTTTGACCACGGGAAGGAAGCAACCACAAAAGCTTTTCACACTGCTCTTAAGAAATTCTTTCACAAAGACAGATCAGATCCTATTAAATTCCAAGAGGGTCTCCACATAATCTTATTATCACTTACTTGAGGTTAATTGATTTGCATAGTTCCTTTCATAAGCCTTAAATGGAATTTTTAGTGTTTCTACTGTTTTAAATAACAGTAGGAGAAATAAATATCAATCTTACTGCTTTACATTTCCCCATACAAATATTAAAAGAGCCCTTAGTTTTTTGACAATAACTTTTAGGGGTGAGAGAAAAGCCAGAGCATTTCCTACTGATTGGTGGGACCTCTGGACAGTTTCAGCTGGCAGTCATTTTGAAATCCCACACCACTATTTGCCACCAAACAGATTCTAGCTTTATCACCGACTCTTTACTCTGCATTTTGACCTAAATGCCGCTTAAAGGATTCTCCCTGTAAAACGGTTAAACTTTGAATAGCCTTGAACCACCAAAGACCAATGACATCCAAATACACATGGAACAAAATCCACGCTCCTCACCCTGATCCCTGCGTACACTTGGCCCGGTTCTCACTAACTCACCACCAGGTCAGGCCATTCCTTGCCCACTCATTCCAAGTAAAATAAATAAATCTTTAAAACAACAAACAAACAAACCCCAAGTATACACATTACAGCCTTGAAGACGCTGGACAATGTTTGGTTCTTCCTTTAGCCCTCTCCTTAAACATGTCTTGGACCCCAAGCACTTCGCCTTCAAGGGCGCCTCCGTTCATTACAAATCATTAATTACAATAAATTAACAGACTATCATGGGCTCTGAAATGAAGAGGGCTTCAGCCTCTGGGCGTCTGTCCTCAGAGACCGGAGCCGGTGGGGGCCCCAGCTCACCCCAGCTCCGGCCCGCGAGGCGCTGCCTGCTGCTGGCTCCGGCTGTGCTCCTTCCCCACAACCCTGGCCCCTTCTCCGGCCCTGAGGCGTGGGGAAGTGCGAAGGTTCCCATTTTGGGGAGCGTCGAGACCCCATTACCTGGTGGTCCCGGCTCCCGGCGTGCCCCCGCGCGGCCCCAGGCGCCCCCTCAGGCCGGCCGCGGCGGGGCAGGGCTGCTCCCGGCCGGCGTTCACCTCAGGCCTGGGAGGACTGGGAGGACTGGGAGACTGGGAACCCGCCGGCTGAAGCCCTCAGGTAGTCTGGCACGTCTGTCTTTGACTGCGTTCTCAACCTGACACTGCTTCTTTTAGCTACTCTCTACGCCTCATAAAACATTTTGGTAGCGCCACGACCAAGTGGTGGGATTCTTCGTCTGTGGCTGCTCTCTTATAATTCGGCGCACATCAGTCCTTTTAAAACTGCTAAATTCCAAGGGGGATTTTATCAAGGGGATACTGTGCACCTTTACTCACTTTTGTTCTCACTTACTTGATCCTTCCACAACCTCTAAGTGGGATCCAAGCTGCCTCTCCTTCATCCGGGTATTTAACACTATCTGGCCGTGTAGAAATTCTCTGAATTAGTCTGCAAACCGGAACTAGACAAGCTGTTTCTTCAGTTTCCCTCTTTCTTTACTACTATTTTTTTTCTCTGTGCGTTGGCTGAGGTGCAGATTGCAGGTGGGATAGGGCAGTGTTCCAATGAGTGGCTCAGAACTCAGATGTTTCCACAGGAAAAGAGAAAAAGTCACGTATGTGCTAGTCCCACTAAACCATTTTGCCTGTTCAGCTGTTCTTCAGGATAAAAAAAAAATGCAAACATTTAACTTTTTTTTTTTAATTATTGTTTTTTCATTGGAAAGGTGGGTATACAGAGAGGAGAGACAGAGAGGAAGATTTTCCGTCCGATGATTCACTCCCCAAGTGAGCACAACGGGTCGATACTATGCCGATCCGAAGCCAGGAGCCTCTTCCGGGTCTCCCACACGGGTGCAGGTTCCCAAAGCTTTGGGCCATCCTCGACTGCTTTCCCAGGCCACAGGCAGGGAGCTGGAAGGGAAGTGAGGCTGCCGGGATTAGAACCGGCGCCCATATGGGATCGCGGGGCATGCAAGGCGAGGACCTTAACCACTGCGCCACTGTGCCGGGCCCAACATTTAACTTTAAAAAAATATATTGAGATGTGAAATTCCTATTTTCTGGTTTCAGCCTCAAATGCCCACAGTGACTGCCACTGGGCTGGGCTGAAGCTGGGAATGAGAAGCTCAGGTCAGGCCTCCTGTGTAGGTGGCAGGAACCCAGTTACTTCAGTTATTGTCAGAGTCTGTGGTAGCAGGCAGCTGGATTCAGGACTAATCCAAAAACTCCAAAATAAGATGCTGGTGTGGCAGGGAATGGTTGTCTGCTATACCAAAATGCTGCCCTCAATACTCACCTAATAATTACAGAACTCTGTTTCATATTTTCTCTCTATATATATTTAATAAAAATATTTAGACTAGGACACTTATAAAAGAAAATACAGAAAAAACATGGTAAAAGAAATAGATGAAGGAAGTAGAGAGCAGGTGCCTTCCCTGCTATGTGAAATGCCTGTCCCAAAGATCTCTGTTTTAACATTGTAATCTGATGTCTGACAGAATTCCTGTGTTTCAGGGTAGTTTTTCAACTTCTCTTTTTCAGCATCTAATCCAAATTAGTCTCTTTTTCTGTGATCTTCAGGTGATCTTTTATACTGATGCTAAAATTATCCTTTTCAAAATATTTTGATCATACTATTTGTCTTAAAAACTGTTTCTATTTTTGCTTTGGTTACTTGGTCCTGGGTCCATTACAACAGCCTACCCATTTCACCAAACTCAACCTTCAGGCTATCCTAACTCGGCTCCAAACTATACTTATTGCTCCTAACTACAATAGATTTCTTTTCATACTTTCTATAAATGTTCCATTCACCTGGAGTAGCATTTATGGAAATATGAGAAGGACTGTGCCAGGCAGAGAGGACTATGATGCAATTCCTTGAAGAATGAGTCTCTGAGGATGTCTAACTGTAACGGCTGCAAGAAAGCAAAAGACAGTTGGTTGTATGTGTCAGAACCTGAAGAAAGAAACATGCCTGGAAATGTAGGCCAGGAAATGGCTATTAAGTTATTATGCCTAAGACTACTCAGAACAATGATTTTTTTTTTAAAGTGGGGATCTCAACTCAGTAGTGGGAATTAAAGTCAGTTTAATGCTACACTCAGTATTTAGAAAAATGAAATAGGATAAAATATGAGAGCTCAGGGTGTAGCTCCTGAAATGAAGCCACACGTAGCATAACATGACTGTGAAAAGTTGATTTTTAAATTTTTCTCTTTTTTTATTGTTGTGAAAAGTTTATTTTACCAATATATTGTTAGTGTGTACTTAAATATTGGCTAATTTACAATGTAAAATGAGCTTTTAAAAAATTTAAATGAGGATTTCTTTATTCGAAAGAGTTACAGAAAGAGAAAGAAAGAGAGAAAGAGAGAAAGAGAGAGGAAATCTCCCACTCCTTAGATGGCAGCAGGAGCCAGGTGTTGTGTCTGGTCCTCCCACATAGGTGGCAGGGACCCAAATACTTGGACCATCCTCTGCTGCTTTTCCCAGGCAGCTAGCAGGAAGCCGGATTGGAAGTGGAGGATCCGGACTCAAACTGACATCCATATGAGATGCCAGTGTCACAGGCAGCAGTTTAACTCACAGTGCTACAACTTTGACCCTAAAATGAGCTTATGATTACATGTTACTGCCAAAAGTCTTTGAAGAAAGATTTTTTTAAAAAAAGATGTATTTATTTTCATGGGAAAGTCAGATTTACACAGAGAAGGAGAGACAGAGGGCAAGATCCATCCACTGGTTCACTCCCCAAATGGCCATATTGTCTGGAGCTGAGCTGATCCAAAGCCAGAGCCAGAAACTTCTCCTGGGTTAATCTTTCGCTTGGTTGCAGGGGCCCAAGGCTTTGGACCATCCCAGGCCTTAAGCGGAGAGCTGGATGGGAAGTAGAGCAGCTGGGGCACAAATCGGCTGGGATGTCGACCTATGGGATACCTATGCTTGCAAACAGAGGATTAGCCTACTATGTCACAGTGTCAGACTTAATTAGCATTTTAAAATAAAACTGTTGCATGGTCTTGGTGAACTGTGATGAAATCCTGAACTATGATTATAATGAAAAGAATTGATTTAATCCTCATATTCTACTTTGTGTAGTCTGCTTCAGAACATCTGGCTTGGCATGTGTGATCAGTAGAATATGACAGCCGTGATGCTGTTCTTTTTAGGCTAAGTCGAAAGAAAGTGTGGTGTTTGCCTCCCTCTTGGATCACTTGCTCCAAGGAAGCCATTCCAGGTAGTGAGGCCATTCAAGCAGTCTTCATGGAGAAGTCCATGTGGAAAATAACTGAGCCAGCTAAAGTTTCCCAGGCATGGAAGGAAGCATCTTGGAAGTGGATCGTCCAGTTCTAGTCAAGCCTTTGGTTCTCTGTAGACCTAGCCCATACCTTGATTGTACTTTCTTGAGAGACTGACAGATTACCCAACTTAACTCCTGAGTTTCTGAAACATAGAAACTGTGAGAAATAATAGATTATTGTTAAGTCACTAAATTCTGAGTTCACTTAGTCCCATGTCTGAGATAAACAAGATAAATATGCAATGGAGGGCAGAAGAGGAGAAAGCAAGGATTACCTGTGAGATCATATATGGTAGAGCACTAAGCATTGGAAAGAGCCAGGGTTGGGATGGGGGAAGTAGTGGGTTATGCTCAGGACCAGTGTGGCCTGTCTATAAGCTAATCAAACGGAGGATGTGTCAATAGGCAGTCTTTACTTCTTGCCCTTAAGGGCCTCAAAGACTCAGGTCAAGTGCTAGCTCATTTCTGAAACTTCACTGATTTCCTTAGGGAAAACCCGAGGAAAACCCTTTTGTGCGCTTAGTGCATGTTACTGGAGTGAACACACATCACTGTGTATTACAGTTCCCTACTTTCAATTTTTACTTTGGGAGCCCCATTACACTGTGAGCTTCCTAAAGAGCAAGCACTGCATATTCTGTAGCATCATGTATTTTGTGTCATTTGTAGAGGGCTTGGGAGTTTTCAATAAATAGTTGCAAAAATAGTAATTTAAAGAAAAGTGGCGTGTGTACTCATTTACTCCCATACCTGGCACTTGTGTTAATGGAGCATCAGGAGCAAACCAGCCGTTGGAGGTCTCTGGAGGGACAGCTCCATCCCGCTTTAGAGGTAGAAGCTCACCTACAATTCGGACTCTGGCTTGGGGCGGAGCAGGGCGGGGTTGCGGGGGAGGTCCCCCTCGTCTCAGCTCCTCCTCTACTCAATTCCAATTGATTGAAGAGGATTGGTTCCTTCTTGAGGGGGGCGGAGCTGGATTGGGTTGCGGACGGCTGGCGTAGACGGAGCTGGGCCGAGGGGACCCGAGTGGGGCCGAGGAGACCCGAAAGGAATCGAGGCCGGCGGCGCGGCGGTCCAGAGCCGAGGCTGCTGGGCGAGCCCCACCAGGTGGCCAGGCGGAGCCAAGGATGCTGGCCTCTGCCGGGCAGCCCCGCCCGGGCCCCGGGCCGCCTCCGGCCTCGCCCTTCCCGCTGCTGCTGCTGGCGGTGCTGAGCGGCCCGGTGTCCGGCCGCGTCCCTCGCTCGGTGCCCAGGACATCGCTTCCCATCTCCGGTAAGGCACGAGCATCGCCGCCCTCAGCCCTTCGCGCCGCGCCCAGGCCCCGCTCACATGTCCCTCCTGCACCTGCTCTCTTCACCTGGGCGACAATACCTCTGGGTCCTCAGTTTAGTGCCTGATGTCCGGCGCTGCCCACGCCGCGGGTGAGACCCCCCACGCGGTGCTGCTTGGACACCACCCGGGCTTCGCGCCTGAGCGCCCACGACACGCCCAGGCTGCTCCCATCGCCCCTTATTCCCGGAACCGCGGGAGAGTTCAGTTCCTTCACGATGTGGACGCAGACACTGGAGTCCGGGAAGGGCAGGGGATTCCTTTGGGAATCCCTTCTCTAGATTTCCTCTTTCGTTTCCCTGTACCCTCGCACACACAGCTGTGCCTGTCAAGCCGCTTTGACACCCATTCTCCTCCAACCTCCATCCAGATCCCCCCTTCTCAGCGTTTTATCTTCTCAAAATCGCTTCTATACCCCACCCCCATTCAGCCTCTTGCCTGGCTCACAGACCTAACCTTCCTACCCGGTTCCTGAGCCCCTTCACATCTCTAGACCCCAGCTCCCATCCTCACCGTTATCAGATACCTCCCCCTCCCACACACACCAGTCCTCTGCACTTCTTTGATGTTCTCTACTTCTTCTGTCTATTGCTTACGTTCAATGTTGGTAAACCGTGTAATGAATTGTTCTAAAGTTCTGCTTAGTGATTTTTAATCCTCACAAGAAAAAAAGGGAACATGGTTCTTTGGAAAGATGGAAGAAGGCAGGATATGCCTAAACGTTGCAAGCAGTCATTGGGGGTGATTCACATTTAGAGACTGCTGAGGTGGACATGAGTGTGGCCATGGATCTTGTTTTCTTATGAGTGGGTATTAAGTGCTAGTACCATGGGCAGACAGAACAGTGAAGGCAGGGGCTCAACCTGTTGGTAAAAAACAAGCAAAACAAAAGCCCAAACCCACAACTGAATCCTCACAGATGACAGTAAGTTTAGAAGGTAAACTCGGGCCATAGACAAGGAGAGACTATGCATTCAGAAGGCAAAGTTGTGGTAAGAGGTTGGTGTTTCAGTTTGTGCTGCAGTGACAGCCACAAGCTGAGCTGATATTGCCAGCCCAAGTTAATGTCCAGGAATCCAGAAAGTTCTAGATGGCAGTAACTGAGGCAGAGCTGGGGTTCTAGAGGGAGGTTGGGTGATTCCAGGGTTGATTCCCCCTGTGGAATATAGCAAGGAGATTAATATAGTGGGATGAGATGGCAGGGCCCAGAGCAGCATGCCTAGGAATGACTGGCAGGTGGCCATTGTGCCATCTCAGGAGTACTTGAGCAGAGTGAAACAGGGAGAAACAGAGCTGTATTGGTGCAAGGGTAGGGTCCCCAGAGCCAGAAGTTGAGCTCAGAAGGTAAGCTTATGCTAATTTATTTGTTATAATCTTTAAACAGATATGAACTTAATTTTTTTTATTCTTGGGGATCAAGGGAGACATAGAGTCAGAGAGAGAGTGAGAAAACATCTGCTGGGTCACTCAAATGCTGCAAATGGTCATTGAATTAAATGTGGAGCTGGGAACCCAATCCAGGTCTTCCCCATGTCTGTTCCCATGGGTGACGGGAACTGAATTACTGAACTGTCATCAGTGCCCCCTAGGCCTGTGTTAGGCAGCTGGATTTGGGAGCCATAGCTGGACATAGAAGCAAAGTACTCCGGTGTGAAGGGCAGGTGTCTTACCTGACATCTTTAACTGCTAGACCCAAGCCCACCTGCATATGATATTTGAATGCTGGTAGGAGGTTTAGATTTTTCTATAATTTTTTTCTAAACAGAACAATGTCCTAAGGAAGAAGAAAAGGGACCATTTATGAAACATGTAGTGTGTTCCAGGTGCTTCTATGTTTATTTATTTATTTAATTCTCCAACAAGCCTGGATGATGGTGTTTACACATGAGGAAGGTGGGGCTCAGGGAGAGCAAATAACTTCCTGAAGATGATTCAGCTGTAAGTGGAGCAGCTACATTGAAGTCCACCTTGGTCCGTTCCAGAACCCACACTTTTTCTCAGTATACTGTTTAACTCTTTGCAAGGAATCAGGCAAGAAGAAGGTCCAGGGGTATAGACAAGAGAGAGGATAGATTCATCATATGTTGGTGACAAGTGTGAAACATTTTCTTTCTAAGTAAAAAGAAGTTACTACAAAGTAGTGTCCAGAAAAAAAAGCAAGTTTAGGAAAGTACTTGTATCTTTTTAAAGTAATCATATTGCTAGAGCAGAAACTACAGGGTTGATGTTTATGCTATTATTTCAACAAAATATGCTTTTTTATAGAAAAATATGTTTGACTAGATTATGGGTTAAGTATTCTGACCTCATCAGTTGCCTATGTTTGGGGAAGTATAGGTAGTTGGCTTGTCAAGGCTCTGATTTTCCCACTGATGGTTGCCAAATAAATGATAATTGGAAGAAAACAGAAATCATTCCCTTTGATTTTGCTCTTGCGGATTTGACCAAGGTCATGTGGTGGCTGATCTCTCTCTCCTCTCCCTCTCTCCTGCTCCCAGAGGCTGACTCTTATCTCACTCGGTTCGCTGTCCCTCAGACATACAATTATTCCGCTCTCCTTGTGGATCCTGCTTCCCACACGCTTTATGTTGGTGCCAGGGATGCCATCTTTGCCATATCCCTGCCCTTCTCCGAAGAGAAGCCACGCAAGGTGAGAGATGAGAAGGGGGGAGGATTCCAGACTCCATGGGATGTAATTAGATGTGTGTTGTGGACTTTGTGGGTCATAATAAACACAGGGATTGTGCCAGGAGAAGGAGAGTGAGGGGATATGTTCAGGGGGAGGTTGTCTATCTCATTGGCCCCGCTGAGCATGAGGGGAGTCATGGTGACAATGGAGGCTATGAGAAAGGCTTCAGGAGACAGTGGGCAGAGGACCATTAACATCGCAATGCTCTCAGGAGATAGCTTTGAAGCTTTTTTCGCCGTCCATGAGTAAGCAATATACTGTGGATTGTGACCCAGTACATAGTATGTACTGAAAGAAACATTTCTTGAAATAATCTGATATGTCCTATTCATTAAAAACATTGTTGGTCATGATTTCACAATAAATCGGGTTGCTCCTTAGTGGATGTGGACCTCCAGTTAAAAATTCAATGCTCTTCGGATCTCTGAAGTTCTCGGAGGAATGGGGATAGTGGAGCTGTCCTGTCTCCTTTGACCTTGTGGGAGTTTGGGAAGAGGGCGATTCAGAGAAATGATTGCTCTTCCTTTCTCAGATTGACTGGACTGTTCCTGAAGCTCACAGGCAGAGTTGCAGGAAGAAAGGCAAGAAAGAGGTAAGTGTAAATCCCACCTAGCCCTGCGGTGTTGGTTCAGACCTGATGAAGTGTCAGTCCCCTCTGGTGCTCCCAACCCTGATGGTCCATGCAGAGACTAACACAATGCTGTCATCCATCATCCCTCAGCCTAGGATCCCAGAGCTGCATCTAACTGTTCTAACACTACCTTATCCGTACCCCTCCTTGCTGCTTCTGATTTTTCTCTAACCATCTCTGACCCCCAGGGCGAATGTCACAATTTTGTCCAGATTCTCGCCATTGCCAATGCTTCTCACCTCCTCACTTGTGGCACCTTCGCCTTTGATCCGAAGTGCGGGGTTATTGTGAGTGACAGGGGTGGGAGGAGAGGGAGCCTGCACCAGTGTAAGTTACTTGGGGGTGGCAAGTGGGTGGATGGGAAGGGTTTTCTGTGAGTGACCATTTCGGGGAGGATGGTTAAGGCAAACTGTTATGCATGATGAGCACTGGGGTGGAGCCCTGTCTGCCACAGAGGGCGGGAATGGAGGGAGGGAGAAGAAGGTTGTCTGTAGAGGGTAAGACACACAAAGTTTTAAGAAGGAATGTAAGGGATGGTAAAGGAAGTTGAAGATGCTGGTTGGGCTGAGGAGAGAACAAGTCCGGGAGAGATTTAAGTAATCAGTAACCCAAGTTTCCCTTACTTTATGTCCAGGCAGCTTGGATCCACTTCTTTTTCTTTCCTTTCCTTTCCTTTCCTTTTCTTTTCTTTTCTTTTCTTTTCTTTTCTTTTCTTTTCTTTTCTTTTCTTTTCTTTTCTTTTCTTTTCTTTTCTTTTCTTTCCTTTCCTTTCCTTTCCTTTCCTTTCCTTTTCTTTTCTTTTCTTCTCTTTTTAAGCAAGACTTATTTGAAAGAGTGACAAGGAGAGAACGAGAAAGAGAGAGAGAGAGAGCATGAAAGCAAGTAGTGGGAGATCTGTCTTCCATCTGCTGGTTCTCTGTGCAAATGACTGCAACAGCCAGAAGCCAGGAACTCCATGTAGGTGGCAGGGACCAAAGTACTCAGGCCATCTTCTGCTGCTTTATCAGGTGCAATAGGGAACTGGATTGGAAGTGGAGCAGCCAAGATTCAAACTGACCCTTGAATATGGGATGCTGGCATCGTTAAAAGTGGCTTAAACCTATAACAACACAACTCAGGCTCATGGGTGCATTTCTTAATCAGTGAAGCTCATGCCTGTTGCTTCTTCCCATAGTTTTTGACCCTCTATCACCATCCTTCTCATCCTCCACTGCCAGCTTCATTCTGTGTGGGCTAAGACTCTTTGTTCTGACAGCCTCTGATGTCACTGTCCACTAATGACACTTGCTGGTCTCCTGCAAGGATCTTGCCTTCAGGATGGGTACACTGTCAACCAAGATTCCTTCCAGATCCTATTCATTCACTGCTCCTGTAGCACTAGGCTTCACCATCTTCAAACCCAAACAGGCTTGGGGTATGTGTACACCTGATCACATTTAGGTTAGCTATGCTGAGTAGTTCCCTGGAATTGGTGACTGATTCTGAACTTTCAGCTTTTCCCATTCATCATCCAGACTGGTCCACTGTAGAACATGTTTGTGAAGCACTAGGGTGCATCAAAGGCCTTACATATCCTTTTTATTTCCGTTTCTGTTCCTTAGGGCAGTATCTTTCTTTCTTGATTCTGACCCTTTACTGTAAACCTTGACTCTTCTCAAGTCTGTGGTAACCCTTGTCTCCTATCAGGTTCTATGTTATAGGCTACTCTTGTATCTCCAGTTTAGAATGTTATGTTTATGTAACTACATGTGCTGGATGGTACCAGTAAGGTCCTTTGGGCTACTCTTGAGTTCTTTCCAAAATATAGATTATAGACTCCTTTTTCCTGGGAAGACTTCCCAGCTCAGAATGGTATTGAAAATCTCTATCTCATTGATATCTCTCAAGTCTAGCTTCCTTATAGCTTTCACAAACCTCACAAGGTAATAGTAGTACTGCCTTTGCTGTATTCGTTCTTTTCCAGGCTTGGAGAGCCCATGGGGATGAATTTTAGAGCCATGGCTTATAGTGAGAGCCATTACTTCAAGTTAATCTTCTAGGGCCATCTTTTCTTCCTGGCTTTCTGTAATGGAACCCTAACAGATAAGATTTCCATATATATGGACACCTGTCAGGATCCGTGTGACTTGGACTACATCTATTCTTGATGGATATCAGCAGTGAAAAGTGAAGTTAGGGATTTGTGTCTTGTCCTCCCACAAATTCAGCCCTTTCTCTGAGTACTCCTCTGTAGTAGACTCATAAATAAGGCACCGTTCTTTGATCAAGGCATGTTAGTTGGGGAACATAAGGAGCAAACCAAAAGAAATCAGCTCTCTTAACTCCTCATGCACATGCTGTGCATCCTCTGTATACTTTTAGAAGGTGCCTTTACCTGCTGCATGGCAACCCCAGGCTTTTTTTTTTTTTTGTTAACTACTAAAATTTTTTTTAACTACTAAAAGTTCTTAATACTGAACTTTTAATGTCTTTGGCTGATGAGTTTGAGACTATGTAACAATTATTCAAGAATTTTGACCTGGCTTCACAAACTTGTTGGCTGAGAAATGAAGGTTCTTACGGAAAAGGAAGGTCCAATATTGGGTCTGTCAGCTGCAACTTCATTTTATGGGGGAACTCAGCAATTAATAGAAGAAAGTGCTAAACTTCAAATGATGACAATAACAACCATTCAATTGAATATCTACTCTGTTCCAGGATTGTTAGTTGATATTTTGTATTCATGATGAAGTTTTATTCTCATTACCCCATCATGACATTTGGGTATTATTTATTTCCATTTCATAAGTAAGGAAACCAAAGTTCAGAGAAATTAGATATGATATCTAACATTATATAGTTAGCAGAATCAGAGCCAAAATTTAAACTGAGGTTTATTTGGTTTTGCTCTTCTACCCTGTCTCACCCAGCCTGTAGCATAGAAGACTTTACCTGGCTTTAATTTTTTTGTAACATTTGATGCCTTTCATTTAACAAGGGCCATCTTTCTTTTACTCACCTGGGATAAATCCTTAATGTACTCCGGATCCTTGTTGGCTAAGGCTGAAAGAACAGTTCCAGGCTCATAGCTCAGTGAGTGAGGGTCGTTTATTCAGCTCTGGCTTTCAGCTTGTGGGACTTGCTGTCACCACAACTGACTGAGAGACTGTGTTAACAACAGTGAAGAATCTCAGCATTCACACAGGCGATACAGTAGAGAAGTCTGGCTCCTTTCAGATCCCGGTTAGTGGTTGCTTTAACCACACAAAATCATAACCTATGTAGCCTTCTTAAAGCTTAAAAACCTGGATGACATGATGATGCCATCATAGGAAATGGGAAGAGGACTAGTTTCAACATGTTGAGTGTTAACAGGCTGTTGGTGTTCTCTGTGAGGAAGCCCAGTAGTCAAGTGAAAACAAGGGCGAGAGTTTGAAAGACACTGGACTTGGAGAGTTTGGAAGATGATTTTCCTAGAAAGTCTGACTGGAAATGAGAATGAATGAGATCTTTGAAGCATATGTGAGAAGGACTAAGGCTAGATCCTTAGGATACATGTGTAGAAACTGTAAAGAAAATCAAGAAATAAAAGGAGAGTAAAATGTCAGGATAGTCAAATAATAGAATATTCCAAGGAAGGGAGTGAGTCAGAAGTGTCAAATGGTGCATAAAACCTAGGAAGATTTTTTTTTTTAATCTTTGGTGAAGTGTAAGGGAGTATTTTTAAGCTTAGAGATGGGAGACCACAGTATGTGATTTGAATAGGACAAAGACAGTTTTGTGAAGTAGTAGAACATATTTATGTTGAGCTAAAGAGTTTTTATTCCACTAGTGAGGCAGTCTTTCATGCTCTTGCTAAAAACATGTTATCAAGACAGTGATACTTTGGAAGATCAATCTTGGGTAGACCTGTAGAATAATTTGGGGTGGGGCTAAAGAATAAGGAAAAAAGAGATTACTGTCGTAGTTGAAGCGAGAAGGGAGAAAGCAGCAGCAGGTATGAGACACATCTTAGAAGTGCCTGAACCTCTTGTATTTGATCTCTCACCAAGCAGGCATCTCCCTGTTCAGGTGAGGTTACCCTCCCCACCCCCTCACAGGTGCTGAGCTTGTCTTCCATTCTACTAGACTCTTTTGGTCTCCTCTGGGGCTTCCTTAGATCATATCTACTCTTAGCAGGCCTTCTTCAAAATCTTCTCATAAAATAAAACCTGCTTGCTATGTGTGGCAAAGAGATGAGCAATCAAATGGACAAGTAGTGTACTTTATTCAGGGGGTGTCTGTGTTGCTTCCCAGCCATCATCAAAGTAATCAGGCACCAGCAACACCCCAGGCCCATCCTAATTTTTGAGTTTTTGACTTTCAGGTGGCATGCCTGCCGTTTCTGTGCCGTAGCTTTGATTCAGAATCAGCTACTGCCAATTTCCCTTGCAATTACTCCCCAATCGAAACCATTCTTAATTTTCATTTGTAGATGTTATCTTTAAGATTCCTTAGCGCTGGACACTAGACTAAGGTAGCTGCTGGTTAATCCTGGTGGAACTCTTATACCTTTTGCCTGCCAACCAGGTCAGGCCGTGTGGAGTAATTGGGTGGAGGGAGGAACTTAGCTACCAAATCCTCAAATACTGGCCTGAGTTTCTGAGCATTCTTCATTGATTGTAGGTTCCCTTCCCCCATGGGGTGTCTGAGTTGGGCTGCCTTTTATTCTTGGGGTGCCAGCAGGGGAAGAATGGCCTTTGTTTCTCTAACCCTTTGGGCTACAGATAGTCCTCTGTTAACCTGTGCATTTTTTTTTTTTTTTACCCTTCCTGAGGCCCGAGCCTTTAGGATATTTGCCTTCTTCGTTGATCTCTCCTGTCCTGTACACATTCACTAGACAGTTGCAAACTCATATTTCAGCACTATTTTAGAGGAAAGGCCCGGCTGCAGTGTCTTGATGTATTCTAAGGCCATCCCAGGAGTTCTTTCACAGGGCATGTGGATGATGAGTGCTAGATGAATTGAGGGGAGAGGAATGAACTACTAAAAAAGGGATAGCAGAGATGGGAAAAGCAAGAATGAGGTAGGGGAAGCAGGGATAGCTAACTGGGAATATGTAATTTTCACCATGAACCTTCCCCATGACCCCTAAACCAATTGCCCCCTTCTGGTCTGTAGGATGTGTCCAGTTTCCAGCAGGTTGAAAGACTTGAGAGTGGCCGGGGGAAATGTCCTTTTGAGCCAGCTCAGCGGTCAGCAGCTGTAATGGCTGGTGAGTGAGGCGAGACAAGAATCTGTGACATCTTGCTCTAATTGCCCTCTTCCCCACTCTAAATGCTGTTAGAGTTTCTGTCTCCTTTCTTTCCTCAGAGTGTTTATTATTGCCACATATCTTTTTAGCCTTTCGTGTTCTTGCTGGAGTGCCTGTGATTACCTGCTTTTCCCTATAGACTATTACTTTCCCAGGATTCTTCCTAGAGAATGTGTCCTCTCTACCTCCAGTGTGTTTCCTCTGTTAACCCCATTTTCTTTTCTCATTGTGTCTATTTTTTGCTTGTAAGAATCTACTACAATGCATATTGTAATACTGTTGGAAAAATATTAAAAAAAATATTAAGAAATTTTTCTTAAACAACTCTATCTAAGACAATTTTGATCTACCCTGGCCAATATAGTAGCTGCTAATTGGCAGCCACTAGCTATTGTGCCTGTTAAGATTTTGAAATATGATGCATAACTGATAGAAGAAACTAGATCCAACTTAATGCAAATAGCCCCATGTGTCTCGTAGCTATCATATTAGTGCAGGTCTGCACTATTTCTACTTAAAAAATATTTTAGGATATTTTCTTCCATCCTTTTTAATGTGTATACACACCCACATGCAAAGTAACTGTTTTTTGTTTGGAAGAATCAGTAATTACTTAAGTAAATTCTTGCTGTCACTTCTTTTGAGGAAACTGTTAACACTTGCTCAGATGTGGATGGTTCTTTTACACGTTATGCCAAACCTCTTCTGGGTAGTGACTGGCTGACTCTTTAGCAGCCACAGAGTAAATTGTTTTCATGCCACAAAGCCTGGATTTTAGGTCAGATCACACTGCATGCACCCTGCAAATTCAGCAAAAAAAAAAAAAAAAAAAAAAAAAAAAAATTAGCTGTTTTTCTCATGATAAGTGCAAAATAAGCAGATAAATGGACATTTTATGAGAGTGTGTTTGTTGTAAAGCTTTCAAATATCATGCTACATGGGCATAATTTTGAATTTTGTCAGGTAACTATATGATAGGCTATGCTCCACAAGCTAAAAGTTCTTTGTAAAGAGAATTTTTAAGGACATGTTACCTATTCTATAACCATACCATCAGTTAATTAAACAATTCCAAATCATTTATATAAATATATCTAGTTTACTTCAGAGTTTCTGCTATTACCAATATTGCTATAATGAACTTTTTTGTGTATAAATTTTGTCCTTATTTTAGAAAGTCTTAAGACTTCTAGAAATGGATTACTGCCTTGAAAGCTGTGAACGTTTCATGACTCATTATAGGTTGCTAATTGAGCTTTTAGAGAACTCAATTTACACCCTAAGCCTGCAGTTGGTGTTTTTTTCTCTTACAGAAATTTTACAAGACTGCATTTTTGTCATTTAAACATTTTTTGTTAATTTGATACTAAAAATGGCGCCTTGTTTTAATAATAATTTCTTTGGCCACACTAAGGTGGTTGAATATTTTTCATGTTTTAGTACATATTTTTATTTTTTCTATGGCAAATCTTCTGCTCACATTCTTGGGCCTGTTGATGGGTTAAAACTCTAACCTGCATATGCTTTCCTTTGTGATTATATTTTCTTAAGCTTGGTACTTCATTTACAAAACAGAAAAAAATTTTTTCTTTGGAATTTTTTTCCCAACTATTTAACTCTTGGAAGTCTTGGGTGTTTATTTTGATGATGAATTGGGATAGGGTCTGAATTATATTTTCATATCTAGCTTATCAGTTGACTTCATTCATCACACTGCCTTTTCTTTCTTTACAACATTTTCTGCCAACTATATAATACATTTAAAAAATATTTATTCATTTTACTTGAAAGAGTTTACAGGAAGGGGGGGGGAGAGAAAGAGAGAGAAAAAGAGAGAGAGAGATATCTTTCATTTGCTGGTTCACTTTACAAATGATCACAATTGCCAGAGCTGGGCTGATCCAAAGGAACCTTTTCCAGGTCTCCCTGATGAGTGCATGGGTCCTAGGACTTGGGCATTCCTTTGCTGATTTTTCCTGGTTATTAGCAGGGAGTTGGATCAGAGGTGAAGCAGCTGGGACTTGAACTGATGCCCTTATGGGATGCAGGCAGGAGGATTACTGTGCCTCTGGCCCCATGAGTTTTTTAGTTAATACTTTTTGATGGTATTTTATATAAAATGAGATTGAGATTTAAGATCTAACATTGAAAATATTTTATACATGATTTTATCTTTTAAGAAAAGTCTTAAAAACAATATAGATTCCATTCCTCTTTAGTCATACAGGTAATGACTTACCTTTATGTGAAAAATATTAAATAGTATAGATATTTTTGAAACTGGGCATTAAGTATGCTGAATAAATTCTGTTTGTCATGCTTATCATTATCTACTATCAAAACTGATGAGACCTTGCTTATACTCATCCATGTTTGGATAAAACAGGTCACTAGTTTGTTTTACTTGTTTATCAATATATTTGGCAAAATTCTGAGTTAGGTATTGAAATAATTAAGAAAGATTTCTGAGTTTTAGTGACTGTGACTGTCCTTTGAATCTACAATCTTGTTTATCAACAAAATTGACTTCTCAATTGTGGAGTCAGCTATGATTAGAGAAATACTTCTTTTCAAGCAAGGGTAATTTTGTGAGTAATTTCTCTTTGTTTAGCCAGTGAATTTGAATTAGGATGTCATACAGGAATACAAATTTTGTAAGTAAGATTATTAGAATGAAAAGTGGAAAGAATATTTTCAAAATCATTTCAAATCTTCCCTTTCTCCCCTATTAAAATTCACGGGTAAGCCTTTTAGCTGGTAATTAATAAAGGTGATTAAAAATCATTTTCTAATAGTTGAAAATTACTAACTTCAGTTAACTTGGAACCTGTGTGCCTGTAGCTGCGTCAGACCAAAATCACACTGACTTGTCAGTAGCGTGTGTTTCCTCTGGTTCCCATGTCGCAGTTCTCTTGATCTGACCTACATGCCACGTCCACTCAGGGCTTTCAGGACTGATCCCTTTTCCTTGCTGCACCTGTTTTGCAGACAGCAGTTTAGAACCTAGTGTCAATGTTATGTAAGAAGCAGAACCAAAATTCCCAGTTAGGATCTATGAAAATGTCCTTAAAGGTGATGAAAGTGTTTTGAAATTTTAAAAAGAGCTTTCAGTAGTGAAAATATTACAAGAATATAATTGCAGGGACTTTAAAAATATTGAATGATAAAAATTACAATGTGCATTGTAGAGCATTGAGAAAAAGGAATGTATAAAGAAGAAAGTGAAAACTCTATTTGTATGTCTCTCTTCATCAAGTAATTGCTGTTTTTGTTTGGGAGTGTTTTGAATATTTTCTTCTACTGTGCCTGTCTATATGTTTTATGTATTTATAATTGAAATTATTGTGCATATTTCATTTAGTTCTTTATACTGATCATTTTCTCATAAAATTGTTTAATTATTCAAAACATGGTTTCTAATAATTATATTCTTTATATTACTATGGTTGTACTATACTTTAATGATTTCCATATAGTTATACATTCAAAATTTAGAATATTTCTTTCAAAATAATGCCATAGTAGAAATCTTTTCATTTCTGCATTTTCCTCAATTCTTTATATGATTCTTATTTATTGTATGTGAATATATACAAAAATGGAATTTCTAAGTCAAAAGCTAAAAAGGGTGGTGTTGATGGAGGCAAACTGCTTTGCAGGGAGTCCACAAGCAGTAACAGTGGAGCCTGTTTTCATTGTGTCCTTGTCATTCCTACGTAATAAAGCTAACATGCAGTGACCTTCTCCAAAGCCAAGTTGAGATGTGTGTTGATAAACATACCATTAAGGAGACTGAACACTTTTGTATTTGTATATTGGTACTTTTGGGAAAAGCTTTAGAAATCTTGTTCTCAAGTATGTTTGCTTGAACTGCACCTGAGTAAAAGTTAATAAAATGATCTTAATGTCTTTTTTCACCATTTAAATTCAGAAAAATAAGATCATGTTGACAGTAATATTCATATTATTCTAAAAACAGCGCTGGTTTCTTCCCAGGCTCTCTGGTGGATTATTTTCTGCTCGTTCTTTAATGCTGAGGTCCATAGACTTCACCCAGGGGCTCTTAGGCTGTGTTGCTGTGACAGCCAGCCCTGACGCTTTTGTTCCACTTGCATTCTGATGTTTCTCAAATCTGAATTGGCCTCCAAGTATTATTGCCGCTGCATTCAGCTGCTTTCTAGACATCTCCATCTGGATGTCCTGCAAGAATCCCAAACTGTATCACCTTCACTTCACTTTCTCCACCCTGTGTTCATTTCACTCAGTGTGTGGAGCGATTGCTTACCCAAGTACCACAGCAGAGACAGCGTTAGGCATCTTTGGTCCTCCCATCACTTCCTCTATTATGGCTTTTTCTAAGAGGAGTAAAAGATTTTGCTCTTTCCTGTGCTTTTAGCAGCTGCCTTTGGTCTTGTTACTTCTTGTGGTTAATGCGCCTGCCAAGAAGCACAGCAAATGTTCCAGGCGCACTAAACACTGCTAGCATTTTGGGGCCAAGCCCATCTCTTAAATCTATGTGCCACGTGCCCCATGACTAGCATTCACACAGAAGACAGAGAAATCCGATAGGGTTAACAGAGGGAAAGGCAAGCACCACATCTCAAGCTGTTGAATTATGTCCCAATAATAAATTGTCTTTTAAAAAAAGGTTTATTGGGTCCGGCACCGTAGCCTAGTGGTTAAAGTCCTCGCCTTCTATGCACCAGGATCCCATATGGGCGCTGGTTCTAGTCCTGGCTACTCCACTTCCCATCCAGCTCCCTGCTTGTGTCCTGGGAAAGCAGTCGAAGACAGCCCAAAACCTTGGGACCGTGCACCCGCATGGGAGACCTGGAGGAAGTTCCTGGCGCCTGGCTCTGGATCGGCATAGCATCGGCCATTGGGCTCACTTGGGGAGTGACTCATCGGACAGAAGATCTTCCTCTCTGTCTCACCTCCTCTCTGTATATCTGACTTTGTAATAAAAAGAAATAAATCTGAAAAAAAATAGATTTATTTGTTTTTATTGGAAAGTCAGATATTCAAAGGAGGAGAGACAAAGAAGAAGATCTTTCATCTGTTGGTTCACTTCCCAAGTGACCACAATGGCCGGAGCTGTGCCAATCCAAAGCCAGGAGTCCGGAGACTCTTACGGGTCTCCACGAGAGTGTAGGATCTCAAGGTTTTGGACCATCCTCGACTGCCTTCCCAGGCCACAAGCAGGAAGCTGGATGGGAAGTGGGGCTGCTGGGGTATGAACCTGTGTCCATATGGGATCCCGGCGCATGCAAGGTGAGAACTTTACTACACCAGGATCAACAGGTGTACATTTTAATATTTACTAACTCGATCAATTCAACCATCATTTGCCAAACCATTGCACATTCTGTACTTTATTGTATGAACAGTGTGACAATATTTAGAGTTGAGAGTGACCTGGAGAATCTAGGTTATATAATTATTCTGTGTCTTCCCGGCCATACAACCACATTTTAGAGAAACAGAAAAAGAGAGAGAGAGAGAGAGAGAGAGAGAGAGAGAGAGAAAGTCCCTTGATACTCCCAGGACACCTGAAGCTCTAGTACTTTCCCCTAAAGTGCCTGACTCCTCATGCTGTCACTTTGTGTCATCAACCCCCTCTGCCACTCTGCCTTCAATGACTGCTGTCTAGCATTGCTAGGTTCCAGTGTTGTTGCCTCCCTCACTGATCCCTTCGAAAGTTTGTGAACTTTTACATCTGCCCAGCACTGGGTTCTAACATGTCCTGCTGCTCTCAAGGCGCCCATGACACAACTTCTACCAGGTGTCAAGTCTTAGCGAAAAATTCCAATCTGATTCTGGCTTCTGTATCAACTTTCCCCCCTTTTGAAGGACAAAGGATTGGCTCATTGGTTATTCCATATGCTGCCAGACTGTTGACTGATCCTTGGGCTTTCTCTCCTGAAATTTCTTGGAAGGGAATGAGATGTCACTTTACAACAACCTCTCTTCCCTTGTCCTAGTCAGGTAGTAAATCAAGCACATGGACAATGGAGGTTTCCTAAGAAGCTGACTTTAAGTGTGTTAAATGCTACTCATGGGGCCAGCCTCCAGTTAGGCTTCTGTGTTGCTTATCTTAGTTGACTTTTAGTGCTACTCTGCAAGGAAGGTGACATTATCCCCACTCTATAGGAACTTGAAGTGTAGGAAGCTTACTTTGTTCAAGATTATAGTCAGGGTTTAAAACCCACATCTTCCTGGCTCTAGAATGATTGGGTCTTTTTCTCAAATGATGGTCTCCCATCCACTCTGCCCAGGGGCTTCTACCTCTCCACTGCTGCCCTGAGAGGCCTGCTGGCCTTTTCTTCTGCACAAAGTGTGTTGTCAGTGCTGGCTGTCTTCCCAGTGCCTGTGACTGGCAGCTTCTTTGGGACATCTGGATATAGGGCAACTGATCTTTCTCCAGGAGGCCTCTCTCCCCTGCTTATCCTCATATACATGAGCCCCCTGCTCCGGCTGTTTTTGGTACACTGGTTGCTGGAAGCCAACCTCTTAGGCACTCCTAGTCTCTGCAGTTAGAGCCTTTCCATGGCCCTTGTAGCTCCTCCCATTAAAGGCCTGTGCTCCCCAGGGCTCCCTTCTCACATTAGTTTCCCCCTCTCCTCCATGTTCATGTGGTGACTTAGGCATGTGTGTGTTGATGTCCAGATTGCTGACGCTGGCCTTTCCCTTTAAGTGTCTTCAGCATCTCTGAGCAGTGTCCCACAAGAACTTCAATCTAAGCCTAGCTCACTTCTCCAAGTTCCTCCTTAATGGGCTTTCTGTTCTCATTTCCTGGCTTGGCTCATGATATGAACTACTATCATCAATCTTCTCAGTTAGAAACCTTAAGAGACATTCTTTTATTTTATCCTCTCACATTCGATTGATTTTCAAATCGTGGTAATGGACTCTGCCTCAGAAATATCTCCCAGTTCCAGCACTCATTTTCTCTGCCCTTGCCTTGGTTCAGGCCTTGCACTCTTGGCCTGCACTGGGTGGATGACCTTTAAATTAGAGTTATCTTCTGAGAAACACAAAATTGAATACCTCCGCAGACTTGCCCACATTCCTAGCATGGCAGAATGCCCTCTCAAAAGCAGGTATCTGGAGCTGTGTGCCCAGCTCCATCTCTGCTCTCCTTGCACCCTGGGCAGCCCTCCCTTCTATCCAGAGCTTCAGGTGCCAGGTCCCCTGTGCCTGAACATGGCTGCCCTCTTCATCTCTTGCTTGTTTTCCTCCCTGAAGTCTTCCTGTTTGGAGAATCTCTCATTTTTCAAACCCAGCTTGGGTGTTGCCTCAGAGATGCTTTCCCCCCAGTAGAAGTGACTTGGTCCTTTCCTATGCACCTCCATCCCATCTATTAGCATCCAGGCCTCCAGTGTCTGATCACAGCCTTGTCTTCCTGATTCCAGTGGCAGTTTTTGGGAGGCAGGGATGTGCTTAACCTCCCCCCCGCCCCAGCATGGTGCTGTGTGTATAGTAGGTGGTCAAAGCATGTTCCTATCTCCCCAGAGTGGCTGTGATACTCAAGTCTCCTAGAATGTGTTTCTGACCTTCTACTGCTCCATTCTGTTTGCTTCCTACTTATGTCTAAACTCTTGGCAGTGTCACTCAGCGTGGCTCGGGTTCCTTCACATTTAGCCCACAGCATGCCAACTCCAATTCCTACTGCGCCATAGAACCCTTGCCTCCCCTCTGTACCAGAAGGAAGGACCCAATTTCTCCTGGCTTTTCTGCAGTCTGTGAAACCATTTGTTCTTAAATCACCTGCAACAGAATAATTCCAGTTGCTTGTTTGCTATCTTCCTTCTCTACCAAAAGAGAGTTGCTAAGTCCCGGGCATAATGCTAACCTTGTGGCCAGACCAATGCACACTCACTAAGGTTCCTAAAGACCCTAGTTCATGCAGATGTTTATCGCAGTGGAAGGCTTCAGTAAGGGAGGGAGATGCTGCAAAGCCCTGTGCGAGAGCCACTGTACAATTAGTGAATGTCAGGGACCTTGAAATCACAAGTAACCCCAGACCCAAGAGCCTGATTTCCAGGAGACAGGCCTTTCTTCTGCCATATAAGTGGGGATATTCAGGCACTGTATTTCCCTTGATCCTGCCTGGATCAGTTTTTGTAGGGTGGTCGTTGTGAGGAGGCTGCTGTGGTGGGTTTGGCAGCACCTGGCCCTGAGCGCGTACCCCCCTCCCTAAGAGTTGCTGCTCCCTGGACCCCTCTATTCTGCCTGTGATCACTTGCCTTCATTTTACGTCTCTGACAGCCCACCTTCTTCCTGTCACCCTGCAGGGGGCGTCCTCTATGCCGCCACTGTGAAAAACTACTTGGGGACTGAGCCGATTATCTCCCGGGCGGTGGGGCGCTCTGAGGACTGGATTCGCACAGAGACCTTGCCGTCCTGGCTGAACGGTGGGGACGGGGGAAGAGACCCTCTGGGGGAACAGATGGGGTGGAGGCTGGGTGGCCCCACGCCATGCCTGGGGATCTGAGGTCAAGAATCTCCCCAGCCCCAGCCTTTGTTGCAGCCATGGCTCTGAGCCCAGCCGAGAGGGGGGATGAAGATGGAGACGACGAAATCTACTTCTTCTTTACGGAGACATCTCGAGCGTTTGACTCCTACGAGCGCATTAGGGTGCCACGGGTGGCCCGTGTGTGTGCGGTGAGAACCTCTCCACTTCCTTGTTATTTGTCTGTCCTTTCCTGCTGTCTGTCCCCTTGTTCTGTTATCTCTTGCTCCAGGCTGCTATCTCTGCATCTTCCCTCTGTCTTCTTTTTTTCTGTTCCTTAACTTCTGGGAGTTTGAGGAGGGGGGATTGCGAGCTCTGGTGTCTGACTCTCCCTCTCCTTTACACCCGTTTGCCTTTGTCTCGTGGTGACCAAAGGGATTGGTCGAGCAGAGAGGTTAATGGCAGAAGCTGTTGATAGATAGACCTGGGTTCCAGTCCCTGCCACTCCCTCTGTGAGCCCAGGAAGTTCTTTAGTGTCATAGAAACTCAGGTGTAAAGCAAGGGTAACAGTGATGGCTGTGTGTGTGGGTAGTTGTGAGGGGTAGCTGCTCTGAAATCCCACATTGTACTGTACTTTATGAATGTACAGTTGATTCAGTCACTGTCATTGTTACTGTGGCCACATGCATTCCTGGATCCCAGTATCTCTCTGTTCCTTTGTGTGTGTCTCTGTCTCCTGATCTGACTGTCTGCCCTGACATCAAGGAAGTGGCCTATTTTAATCTCCATACTCCTGTGCAATGTTGGGTTTCTAAAAAGAACTCCCCTTGTTTTGTCACCTCAGGGGGACCTCGGGGGTCGTAAGACCCTCCAGCAGAGGTGGACGACATTTCTGAAAGCTGACCTGCTGTGTCCGGGACCTGAGCATGGTCGAGCCTCTGATGTCCTTCAGGACATGGTTGTGCTTCGACCTGAACCTGGAGCGGGGACCCCTATCTTTTATGGCATCTTTTCTTCACAGTGGTGAGGGATCTTGGCGGGGAAGAGGGTGGCAGGGCAGGATATCCGTGGGGTTGGCACAGCCTCATGCTGTCTCCTTCAGGTTGGGCTCTTCCCGCCTCGTTTGTGTGGCTCCCTGTGTATTTTTGGTGGGTCACCTCATTTGACAAGGGATGAGCTACTGTCCCCCAGCTCCTTCCAACTCTTTCAGGGAGGGGGCTGCCATCTCTGCTGTTTGTGCCTTCCTACCACAAGACATTCGGACAGTATTCAGCGGTCCCTTCAGAGAGCTGAAACATGACTGCAACAGAGGACTACCTGTCATGGACAATGATGTGCCTCAGCCTAGACCTGGAGAGGTGAGGGGGCCAAGGAAGGCTTTCAGCCGAGACTTGAATTAAAGACCTACCATAAAGACAAGAACCCCTGCTGAGTTTTACTGACACTTCCGGTTCCCTGGGGTAGTTTGTCACCCAGTCCTGTGCTTCCTCTAGTGCATCACCAACAACATGAAGCTCCAGCAGTTTGGTTCGTCTCTCTCGCTGCCTGACCGTGTGCTCACCTTCATCCGGGACCACCCACTCATGGACAAGCCAGTGAATCCAGCTGACAGCCACCCCCTTCTGGTCACTACCGAAACAGTCTATCTCAGAGTCGTGGCCCATAGGGTAGCCAGCCTCTCAGGGAAGGAGTATGATGTGCTGTACTTGGGGACAGGTATATTTAATAGTTGAACAAGTTTACCTGTCCAGTGCATGCACACTTTTCTCACAGGGAGGGATTCATAATATGTTCAGGCAGCCCTGTCATTGTTCTCACCCCTTACCTACCTTCTAGAGGATGGACACCTGCACCGAACAGTGCGCATTGGAGCCCAGCTCAGCGTCCTTGAGGATCTGGCTTTATTCCCAGAGCCTCAGCCAGTTGAGAACATGAAATTGTATCATGTGAGTTGTAGATCTGGGTTTCTTCTGGGGTTAAAGCTGAGTCTAGAACCAATTTGTGACCTAAAGAGCCCGGTAAAGTGTTTTAACCTTTCCCACTCCCTTTCTGTAGGGCTGGCTCTTGGTTGGTTCCCGTACAGAGGTGACCCAAGTGAACACCACCAACTGTGGCCGTCTCCAGAGCTGCTCAGAATGCATCCTGGCCCAAGACCCTGTGTGTGCCTGGAGCCTCCGGCTGGATGCATGTGTGGCTCATGCTGGGGAACACCAAGGGTGAGTGTAGCCACACTAGTCTCTTGTCTGTTGCCCTAGAACTCTGCTCCATCCCTCTGTCTATATCTACTTCTCTTTTGGTAATGCTACCTTTTCTCTCTGTGTTTTCTGTATGTTAGCAACTACATTGCTTGTGTGTCCATCTGTCAGTCCTTAGCAGTATATCTTTCCAATTGGTGTTGCCTCATAATGTCCTTGCCTCTTAGCTGGACCTGTCCCAACTATGGGACTGACTTCATGTTGCCTTCTCTAGGGGACACTACTTCTCTAGGGGACACTACAGGAGCTGGCAGACGCATTTCACAATTGTCCAGTCCCTCCTGCCTGGGACTATTCTTTCCTCTTGTTTCTGTCACTCTACAGTCTACTATTTCCCATCCTGACTTATTTTCCCATCCAACTTCTGAATGCTCTGTTCCTTAGGGTCTAGTCCTAGACCACTCTGTTTTAAAAGATTTATTTTATTTGAAAGGCAGAGTTAGAGAGAGAGAGAGAGAAAAGAGAAGAGACAGAGAGAGATATTTTCCATCTGCTAGTTCACTCCCCAAATGGCTGCAATGGCTGAAGTCAGGAGTCTGGAGTTTCTTCTTGGTTCCTCATGTGGGTACAGTGGCCCAAGCATTTTAGGTCATTTTATGCTGCTATCCCTGGTCTATTAACAGAGAGCTGGTTAGAAGAGGAGCAACTGGAACAGGAACTGGCACCCTTATGGGATGCTGGCATTGCAGGTAGCAGCTTTACCAACTATACCACAATGAACTGATTCTGGCTCCAAAAGCTGTCTTTTCCTAGCCCTCTCTCCCTTTCATATTTGTTGCTATCACTCTCATCTAAGCCATCACGGCTTCTTTTTTCTTTTCTTTCTTTTTGTCTTTTAAAGATTTTTAAATGATGTTTACATAGTTGAGAAGGATGCATAGCCATGTGGACCACTGATTAGGGTGGGAGCAGTTGAGGATTAGGGGATGAGTCCCTTGTTTTCATTTTTTTTTTCTTCTTTCTGTATCTGGGGGAAGGGGTGGGAGTAGAGAAGAAGCTGCACCCTCCATCCTAACTGCATTAGTACCCAGGGGTGGGGAGTGGCTAACTGATGTCATCCCAAGTCCCCAATGTGGGGCATGCTCTGAGGGTTCTGCTCAGGTGGTGTCAGCAGTTCTGAAATGCTGTTGATTTCATTGCTCCAAGGATGAGGAAATACTTCCAAGATCCATCATAGTCCATCTCAGAGTCTCCATTTGCCCAGATACTTGCTGTCAACACTTGGCTGGGAGAGTTGTCCAATTTGTTCTGCCCTCCATCCTCTGCTGTTATATTAGATGTCTCGTTAGGCCCCAGTGGACTGCCATACCCCCATGTGCATCTGGGCGTGCTATCCACTGCACCATCTTAGTGACTGAGGAGGTCCAGGTCTGACTTATGCACTCCATGGTCAGACCACAGATCCTGCATTTCTCCCTGTGGTTGGAGTTCTGAATCCAGTTCAGTTTGTGGTGAGATGGTCCCCATAGCAACCTTGTCTAAGGTGATACCAGACCTGACTCTTATATGTGCTAGCTGGTGTGGGGTCCTGTTTAGTCCATCACCCACAGCCTGTGTACACACTGGTGGTGGCAGTTGCTGGGTCAGTTCTGTCTGTAGCCCCATCTCTTACACAAATCAGTGGGTGCTGTGACCTAGCCCAATCCTGTCCACCACACACTCGGGCATCACATACACCAGTGGAAACTGCAGCCCAGTTGGGGCAATGCCCAATACTCCCCACCAGGCCTGCCCCCAGCCCTTGTTCTTACACATGCTGGTATATGCAGCAGACTGGGCCAGTCTGTCCTGCATCCCATTCAGCTTTTGAACACACCAGTGGATGTCGCAGCCTAGCTCAGCCCAACTGACTGTACCACCAGCCTACACTTATGCTGACGGGTGCTACCACCTATCTAGCCAGGGCAACTCTCAGCCCTGTTTCTCATACTCAGCTGTAGCAGTTGCAACCCATCAGTGAGGTACCCATAGTTTCCCTAATAGGCTCACTCCCAGCCCCAAATCTTGCACTTTCCAGGTTGTTCTGCAGTCTAGCTTGACAAGACTTGTCTACATTCCTAGCGCTTGCCAGCTGATGCTATGGCAAGGCCCAACTAGCCTGTGCTTACTCTGGCTCATACATGCATTAGTGGATACATTCAGTTAGCCCAGCCTGGCTCTCTAAACCAGCTCATATGCAGGCCAACAGGTGTTGTAGCCCTGCCTAGCCTGGTCTACCCCCATCCCAGTCTCATGATCACAAGCAGGAACAGTGGCTCATCAGGGATACCTCCTGCAGCCTCCCTATCTGGCTTGATGCCCCACCTTGTCCCCCTGCTCCCAGCCCACCCCAGGTCTTATGAATGCTAGTGGGTGCTGCAGCCCAGTCTGGCATGGCCTGTGCTACCTCGGCATTCACCGACAAGTGCTGTATCCTAGCCCAACCTGGCCCACCTCCAGTTCCAGCTCTTGTGATGGGTGCTATAGCCTAGCTCTGCCCAGTCTGCCCCCGTCCCTGGCTTTCATGCAGATTGATAGGTTGATACCCTAGCCCAGCATGGCCCTCACTCCATCCTAGATCCCGCTTGCCAGTATGCTAAGGTTTGGCCTGGTCCTCCCTTGCCCCCAAACCAAGCCACACACTTGCTAACGAGTGGAGCTGGCTTTCCCAGCCTGACCACCACCAAGGCCTGAATCACATGCTCACCAGTGGGAGCTATAACCCATCAGAATATTTTCCCAAGTTCCCCCACCAGGCCCACTCCCAGACCCAGATCTCATGTGTATCAGTGGGTGCTAGGCTCTTACCCAGCATAGTTTGTCCCCTTCTCCCTTTCTCTGCTCCTCCCCAAATGGCCCTCCCCTCTGGCTGAAATCAAGCACCTGGGGAAATGCCCAGGTGGGCTCTGCTAGCCAGGGTGTGAGCTCCAGGTTTCCGCACACTCCCATCAGCACCATTTCTATCTCCTAGATCCCCTGCAAACCTGCATTCCAAGGCCCCTATGAACCTGGCCATGCTGGTGGCAGAAGCAGCCAGCTGGCTGTGTCAACAGTGGAAGCAACCTAGTCATCACTTCTTCTTAGCTGGACTACTCTAACAGCCGTCTGTTTGGGATCCTTTTGTTTCATCCATTTTTCGTTTAGCAGTTAGCTTGAGTGTGTCATATTGAAGCAAATCCCTGACACAACGCAGAAGGGCTCCTTTAAAAAACATAGCCATACTTGTATTAATCAGTAAAATAGCAAAACTTAATTTCTTGTCTTATATACAGCCAGTGTTCTAGTTTCTGTGATTGCATAGGCTTAAAAAAGTAAGTCAACAAAGTCAGGATCCACATAATATCTATCATTGTAGATGGTTGATATGTTTCTTAGAACCTTTAGTTAAGACCCTCTCAAGGAAGTATTTTTAAATTTTTGAAAATTTATTTCTTTGAGAGGGAGGGTAGGAAGAATTGAGAGAAGGAGAGGGAGGGGAAGAAAGAGGGAGAGAGAGATTGAGCTTGATTTCTATCCACTGATTTACTTCCCAGAGGTCTGCAATGAGCAAGGTTAGACCAGGGAGCTAAAGCTACGATCTAGGAATACAATCCAGGTCTCTCAGATGGGTGGCAGAAACGCAATCCTGTGAGTCTTCGTTACTGCCTATCACGGTCTGTATTGGCAGGAAGCTGGAGTCAGGAGCCAAAGCCAGACTTTCAACCCAGGCACTCCGATATGAGATGCAGGCACCTTAGTCACTGGCTGAGTGCCCGAACCCTTAATGACATATTTGTGATCAATTGTTTCAAAAGTGACTTTTTAAAACATTGGCCTTGGTATTTCCTATTTTGAAGCCAAGTTAATTTACAGTAAGTTATTTATATTACAGAATCCAAAGTATATACAAAATTTTAATAGATTTCAGAGCTCCCAAGTTTACAGCTTCTTTAGAAATAAGCACCTATATTTGGAAATAAGACAGATTAGTTCACATATGGAACAGAGTCAAAATGTTTAAAAATCACTAACATGATCAGAGTGCTCATAAGATTTAAATTTGCTTTTCTGATAGTCATTTGGATTCTAAATGTAAAATCTTATGCTATCTCTTGATTGGACTTGACTTTTTACTAGTTGGAAGTATAAAGTAAGATTTGGATATCAGCCTTGAGCAGCTTTGCATTTTTGGCTAAGGACTTTGACTTGGTCATTTAGTTCCTTTTAGGGGAATTTTTAAACATCTAAGTTGCAATTAGCATCTTTCTTTGTTTTAATATCCATTAACAAGAATGCACTGGTCTTAGGTAGGTTATGTGTTAGAGCTTCAGAAGTTTAGGCACATGAGAGGGTGGAGTCCATAGGACAGAGTCTGGAGGTATGTGTGTGTGTCCTGAATTGGTATGTTTGTGTGTTCTATCTCCCGCACATCAGTTCACACAAAGGAGAAAAACAGCACAGACTATGAGGTTCCCAAGGCTAAGGTGCTCTATGGGTTCTTCTCACATTCCTGACTCTCAGATGAACTAATCAGCCTTTTTATGCAGACACTTCTGTCTGTTTGTACCAATCTAGGAGCTCATTTCAGGCAGCTCAGCTCATATTGCAGGAGTTCATTATACAGAGTCTGTCTTTGAAGCTTTCATGTGTCGAGCTCTTGTACCCGGCCTTCATGGGCAGACTTTTGTGGGTTTGGTTTTACTGGCCTTGCCTCCTCTGGGAGTGGTGCCAGAGCGTTCTGAGGTAAGCATCGCATCTGGCTAGTCTCCATCACACACAGCCGGCCCAATGCCTGGGAGTACCAGCACTGGGCTGTTTAAGAGAAATGCTCCTTGGCAGAGATGAGAGGCTTTTATGAAATAAAAGTCTTTTCATTGATCCTCTCAGAAAACTGATTGCCTTCTATAGAGAAGTTTATGCTTTCTCTTAAATAACAACTCTAGTTTTAATATTTTTCTCCTAGAGAAATTTTGTGGCCATGGACAACCAGGCACATTTCTTGGACTATATCCATGTTTCTTTTTCTTCTTTTTTTTTTTTTTGGTAAGATTTATGTATTTTTATTGGAAAGGCAGATTTACATAGAGAAGGAGGGACAGACAGAAAGATCTTCTGTCCACTCATTCACTTCCCAAGTGGTTGCAGGAGCCAGAGTGGAGCTGGTTCTAAGTCAGGAACCAGGAGGTGCTTCCTGGTCTCTTGTATGGGTGGAGAGCCCTCCACTGGTTTCCCAGGCCACAAGCAGGGAGCTGGATGGGAGGTGGAACAGCTGGAACCTGGACTGGCTCCCATATGGGATCCTGGCATGTTCAAGGTGAGGATTTAACTATTGAACCATTGCGTTGGGCCGTGTGTGTGTGTGTGTTTTAATTAATTAATTAATTACTTGCTTTTTAAATTGAAAGGCAGAGTTACAGAGAGAGAAGGAGGGACAGAGAGGGAATCTTCCATCTACTGGTTTGCTCCTCAAATGCCCATAACAGCCAAAATTGGGCTGGGAGCTAGGAGTTTCTTCTGGGTCTCCCATGTGAGTGCAAAGACTCAAGGACTCTGCTGCTTTCCCAGGCCACAAGCAGGGAGCTGGATTGAAAGTGGAGCAGCTGGGACCCACAGGGGATGCTAGCCCCATAGCCAGAAAAACCATGGTGCTTAAACCATCATGTTTATTTAAAGAACACTCACTGAGTGTGTTTCCACCAGACCTAGTGCAAATTGAGTCTTCTATGATCTGTGTAGAACTTGATTTGACCAGTGTTGCGAGGAAAAGTCAGTGATGAGGCAAATGCTGACTGTTCATGCCTGGAGCAATGCATAAGATAATGGGAGTTAGAACAAATGCATGGATATTCAGTGAATTCACACTGAGAAAGGGAGAAGGGAATGTAGACACTTGATTTACCAAGTATTCTTTTTTTACAGGCTGGTCCAAGACATGGAGTCAGCAGATGTAGCTTCATTGTGTCCCAAAGAACCAGGAGGTCTGTATGGCTTATAGAGTTGTGGGTGGAGTGGGTGGGAAGAGCTGGAAAGTTGTTCATTTTAGACTCATTTGAAAACTTGAGTCCTCAAGGATATGGCAGCCAATGATCCAGGCCATACCTTAATGATCCTTTTTAAAACTGTTTCGGTATCCCCTTCTTGTGTCTAATAACTATGTATTTCTCTCTATCACCAGTGCCTCCCTAACCTTACCACCTTTTGTACCTTGGCTATCTTTCTACAGAACACCCAGTAGTGTTTGAAGTTCCTGTGGCTACAGCTGCACATGTGATCCTGCCATGTTCCCCCAGCTCAGCATGGGCTTCCTGTGTGTGGCACCAGCCCAGTGGAGTGACTGCATTCGCACCCAGGGGGGATGGGCTAGAGGTGGTGGTGACCCCTGGAGCCATGGGCGCTTATGCCTGTGAGTGTCAGGAGGGCGGGGCAGCTCGTGTAGTAGCAGCTTACAGCTTGGTATGGGGCAACCAGCAGGGCCTTCCAAGCCAAGCCCATACAGTGGGAGCTGGACTGGCTGGCTTCATCCTGGGAGTTCTTGCAGCATCCCTGACTCTTCTCCTGATTGGTCGGCGTCAGCAGCGACGGCGACAGAGAGAACTTCTGGCTAGAGACAAGGTCGGCTTGGATTTAGGGGCTCCAACATCTGGGACCACGAGTTATAGCCAAGACCCTCCTTCTCCTTCTCCTGAAGATGAACGGCTGCCCTTGGCCCTGGCCAAAAGGGGTAGTGGCTTTGGTGGCTTCCCTCCACCTTTCCTGCTTGACCCTTGCCCAAGCCCAGCCCACATTCGGCTAACGGGGGCTCCTCTAGCCACATGTGATGAGACATCTATCTAGAGTTGGGCAGATGATACTCACTGGCGCAGAGCAATCACCGAGGTGTCAACATCGTGGTCTCAGCTTCTTTCAGTCTGAGTGATCACTTTGACTTCAGTGTCTACCCTTTCCAGACCTGGATAGCCTTGGATACAGGCTTTGCCTAGTTCTTGATTCTCCTAGGGGATTAGAACTGCTTTCTCTGCAGGGAATCAGACCCTCTCTCCTCACCTCTGAGCCCCTGTGATCCTTCAGCCCTGGTCTCTATCTTGGGCCCATTAGTCTTGGGGATGGGGCACAGGACTTAGCTATGACTTCACTTTCTGGCTGGCCCTGGCCAGAAGGAAGAGCCATGGCAGGGTTGGGACTGATGTACACTGCATCCTTGGAGTGCTTCTGCTGATCCTTCTAGTTTCTCTGATTCTCCATGGGGAGTGCATGATCCCCTGTTACCACATGGAAACTCTGCCCTGAGATCTCCTCCATCCCGGCTCCCGTTCTTCCATGAAAGAGGGAGTATAAATACATAGGTGTTCACAGGATCCCTGATCACGTGTGCACGATTGGGCCGATGCTGAGGTGTATTCATTGGGGCTGTCAAGGGGAGAGTTTGGAATGAGAGTTTTAGCCACAGAACTTACAGGAAATGGTTTTCCTGTCTCAAAGGAAATGAAACACTGCCCCTCTCCTTGCTGCCCTACAACATTCCCTGAATTTGAGCAAGAAAAATCCAAAAGTGACCTTGTGGGTGGGTAGGATAGTGACCTTGTGGGTGGGTGCATGTGTGGGTGGCTGCTCTTTGTTTTTGCCTTTTGGCTGCCACCACTACCCTGCCACAGCTGCCCTTTTCCTAGCTGGAGTGTCAGTTCAACCCCTTTTCTTTGGCTCCCATTAAGGGTTCACTTTACAACATCCTAAATACTTGGGGATGACAGGAGGGGAACGGCCACAAGAAGTATGAGCAGCATGAATACAGACTTGCACCAGTGATGTTACTCAGGGTGATACCCTTGCCCTAAAGCAGGAGTCCCCCCCTCCTCAGGCCCTTGGACTCCCTGAAATTGTATGCAAAATGTCTTCTGTATGTGTGTGTCTATATTTTTCTTGGGGGGAGGTTTTATGGTTTTTATCAGAGTCTCAAGGCCTTAACGAAGTTAAAGGACCACTAGCCCAAGGTCATGAGGACTAGACCAGGCTGAGGTGGTGCCACTCTGAGGCACCCCTTCCTGGCCTCACTCGCCTGGATTTTTGCCTGCTGGATACCCTCTCTTTCCTCCAACCCCTGGAAGCTGAATGTTGTGTATATCTGAAGGCACTGTCAGCTCTCATCAAATGGCAAGACCTCTTCCTGCTTCACAATGCTCATGAGCTCCAGGCTTCTTTTGATCACTTCCTGTCTAGGCCTCTGAATGTGCCTCTCTTATTCCTGGTGAAGGACCCCATTAAGTTCCGATGAATGATCCAGACCTTTCCAGTTGAAGTTTTCTGCTTTTCTTTCCTTGGCAGCAGCCTGTGAACTACTCAAGAGTCCCCTTGCATTGGGAATTATTGGTGGCTTTGCCACTAAGTGTGTGATCTTCAGCAAGTGAACTAACCTAGGGGCATTGGCTTTCTCATCTGTAAAATGGGGATGGTAATACCTACCTCAAGGTTGCTGCAAGGATTAAGTGAAAAAAAAATGTAAACAATAAAGCACTATCTATATCTTAAGATGTTGTTGTTATAAAATGGCTTATTATGCCATAATCATATATAGTCACCATATAACCCCAGCAACTGCAATCACTTTAATCCCCATTCAGTGGAAAGAGGGTCATTACCTAACAGAGCTTCCATCCTGGATCATTGGTCAGTTCTTAGTTGCCACTGTCTAGGTTTTGGAAGGCCGACTTTTTATTTTTATTTTAATTTTTTAAAGATTTATTTATTTTTATTGCAAAGTTAGATATACAGAGGAGAAGAGGCAGAGAGAAAGATTTTTTGACTGATGATTAGCTCCCCAAGTGACTGCAACAGCCAGAGCTGAGCCAGTCTAAAGCCAGGAGCCTCTTTTGGGTCTCCCACATGGATGTAGGATCCCAAGGCTTTGAGCCCATCCTCAACTTCTTTCCCAGGCCACAAGCAGGGAGTTGGATGGGAAGTGGGGCCACCAGGATTAGAACTGGCATCCGTATGGAATCTCGGCAAGTTCAAGGCAAGGACCTTAGCTGCTAGGCTTTCATGCCTGTCCCTTATTTTTATTTATTTTTTAAAATAATACTATTTACTAGAGAAGGAGAGAGAGAGAGTAGGAAACGTCAGAAGAAGGGAGGGAAATATCCCATTTGTTGTTTCACTCTCCAAATGCCTGCAATAGTGAGGGCTGGGCTGAAGCTCAGGAGCTAGGACCTCTACCCATGTCTCCTGCCTGTGTGGCAGGAACCAGCTTACCTGAGCCACCTCTGCTGCCTCTCATGGTAGGAATCTGGAGTCAGGAGCCAGAGTTGGGAATTGAAGCCAGGTATTTTGGATGTGGAATGCTTCTTTGAAATAACTAGGCTACATTCTGACCCATGATACTTTTTGTTGAAGTTTTTTTATTATTATTTAAAATATTTATTTTTATTGGAAAGTCAGAGAGAAGGAGAAACAGAATGATCTTCCATCTTCTAGTTCACTCCCCAAAGGGCTGCAACTGTCAGGGCTGAGCTGATCCAAAGCCAGGAGCCAGGAGCTTCTTCTGGGTTTCCCATGTGGGTTCAGGCTGCCGGAGACCTGCTGGGCTTTTGTATCCTACAGCAGCTCACAGCTGATTGCATCTATGTGTCCCTCTAGAGTCCCCAGATTGTCCACTTTTTGGCCCTCACTCGCAGAGTCCCCTCTGTCTTTGGCTCATAAACTGTGATTCTTGCCTTGTTACCCATAACCAATGGCCTGCTGCTGAATTCAGAGCTAGAAGGGCTGCTTTCTGTTGGCTCTTTTGATCCAACCAGTTCTAGCCCACAGCTGGTCCTGATCCCCATGAGAAGCATACCTACTGACTTTGCCAGGAATCCTCTGCTCCTTCCCTCTCCTCTGCCGTCTACACACACAAGCTGATGGGTGGCACAGGCTGGGCCCTGGCCTTCCTGGCTTCGCTGTACCACCAGAGAGGGGCAAGGCACAGCCTCAGCCGACTCACAGATCTTCTCTTATGGGTGACAGAATAAAATCTGCTCTTTTTATTTGTGGCAGAGGCAAAATTTAATTTTAAAAATAATTTTTAAAAATTTGGAGGAAGAATGTGCAATAAAAGCAACAAAGAACAAAGCAACAAAGAAACTTAAACATCTGTTTAAGTTTTCTGATTCTCCCTGAAAGAGTCAGGCATGGGTCTGTGACATGGTAAGTTGTGTGGTTCCAGCAAGGTACCTCTGGGTTGATGCAAAACACCAGGTCCTGGTTGGGGTCAGGGAGGGTGAGCACCAGGAGAGTGATTCAGCTCCCTGGGGTTGGTAGGCGGGGAGTAGAGATGCTTGGAAGGGCCAAGATTAGGGGTCAAGTTCAGAGTACCTGGGAAGAAGTAAATGCAAACAGGGAATTCCCTTGTTTTCAAGGACTTCCAGCCCATGGGACTAAGGTTTAAGGTGACAGATGAGGCTAGACCTGCCCACACTGCCCCTTTGTGTCAGACTGGCAGCCATCTCAAAGATTCTGGGACACTGCAGTGCTGGACCATACACTGTTTTCTCCACGTGTAGTGGGAGGCTTGGTTAGGGTGGGTGTATTCAGCATCTGATGCTGGGTCCAAGGACCAACATCTTCCCTCAAGTTCCAGAAAGTGTGGAGTTGAGGAGATTGGGAATAAAATCCTCCTAGGGCTGAAATGCACTCCGGGTGTAGTAGCTGTTCCTTTTACATTAAAAAATATAAATATATATTTTTAAGATTTATTTATTTTTTTTAAAGAGTTATTTTATTTTTATTGGAAAGGCGGATATACAGAGAGGAGAGACAGAGAGGAAGATCTTCCGTCCGATGATTCACTCCCCAAGTGAGCGCAACGGGTCGATGCTATGCCAATCCGAAGCCAGGAGCCTCTTCCAGGTCTCTCACGAGGGTGCAGGGTCCCAAAGCCCTGGGCCGTTCTCGACTGCTTTCCAGGCCACAAGCAGGGAGTTGGATGGGAAGCAGGGATGCCGGGATTAAAACCGGCGCCCATATGGGATCCCGGGCGTGCAAGGTGAGGACCTTAACCACTGCGCCACCGCGCCAGGCCCAGATTTATTTATTTTTATTGGAAAGTCAGATTTACAGAGAGAAGGGGAGACAGAAAGAAAGATCCTCCTCTATCCATTGGTTCACTCCCCAAGTGGCTGCAACGCCTGATGATGAGCTGATCTGAAGCCAGGAACAACTTCTGGGTCTCCCACGCAGGTTCAAGTCTCAAGGTCTTGGGCTGTCCTCCGCTGCTTTCCAGCAGGGAGCTGGAAGGGAGCAGTTGGGACACAAACTGGAGCCCATATGGGATCCAGGCATATGCAAGGCAAGGGCTTTAACCACTAGGCTACCATGCTGCCCACCCCACATTTTTTTAAAAGTCTGGTGCTTTAATGTCTGGGGACTTGCTGCCCAGGATCACCTGCCTCTCAGGGCTGACCAGTTCCTACAAATAGGAAACAACTCCCTTGCAGGCAAGCTTTCATCTGCAAGCCAACCAACCAACAGGGAGCCCAGGCCCTGAACTGCCTCCTTTTAGTAGGATTTCCCTGAGCTGTTACTCTCTTACGTTAATCACATGGGCCAGGGACCAGACACCTGGAGACAGTCCGCACACTTTACACCCGCTGAAATGATTCAAACCAGCACATGCAAAGCCCGTTTGGCCCTGTTCTTCCAGAGGAACCCACGATAAATCGGCTCTCGCCCTCGTCCCCTGCCCCGCTTGACTGCTGACTGGTGCTTCCCATGTGGCCGTGCTGCTGCGTGGTGCGCTGTGCGGCAGGACGAGCCAGGAACGTTTTAGAGACCTGCGAAGATACCTTTCCTTCATAACGGCCTGTGTGTGTGTGTGTGTGTGTGTGTGTCCACAATCGATTAAAAGAAATCCTAGGCACGCTGCAAACACCAGGACTCCCGGGAGGTTAAATGTTGAGGAGGCTGACTTGACCTGTCTGGTGAAGGAGGCCGAGAACTCATGGGGAAAGCTCTGGCCCCAGCCGCTGCAGTCACAGCTCATAAAGAGGGCTTCTAAAGACCCCCACAGATCTGCCCGCATCCTCCTCAAGCCCACACATGAGAACTCGGCATTCTTGGTATGCTGGAGGTACGCACGGAAGCACGCATGCGCAGGTAAGCACGCATGCGCTGTGCTCCGGTGCCGCTTTCGGCAGTGAGAAGGCGCAAGAGGTACTTCTGTGAGGCGAAAGGCGTTGTACGTGTTAATATTATTAAGTGGTGTAGACTTGTGCCATGCTTCTCTCTGGCTTCTGCAGCAGTGCCAGACTTGAGTGGGATGGAACTGGGGGCTTGTGAGGATGTGGCCTCCTGCCTCTTCGGTGTGGCTCTGGGGAGCGGCC